GTCGATAGAGCCGAACACACGCTTAGGAATGCGTTGAAAGTAAACGGAAAGTCCGACGAGAATCTTAAAAAACAGTTGACTGAATTGTCCGCATATTTACAACAGGTTTGCATTAATTATAAATACACCAAAAGTTTTGTTTACAAAAAATCATTTTCAAAATTTAGATGCAATCGAAAGAAAAGTCAATTCACAATTACACCATATTAAATTTGTTTAAAACGCCAACACTTTGTAAAATAACGTTAATACTGTGTTACTCTAGAATTGTAAACTCGTTGCTATATTATGGTCTCAGTTTGAATATGTCTGACTTCGGGGGAAATTTTTACATAACATTCCTGTTATCGGGAATCGTTGAACTCCCGTCTCAACTATTGTCGCCACTAATGCTACGATATATGGGTCGCCGAAAACTCTACGCTCTCTTTACGTTCATAACTGGTGTTTCGTGTTTCGCAATAATTCCCGTCCAAAGGGAATGGATTAAAGTAACGTTAGCTTTAATCGGGAAGTTTTCTGTGAGCACTTCCTTTAATGTATACTCAATACACGGACCCGAACTCTTGCCAACAGTTTTGAGACAGAGAGGGATGGGTTTCGCTTCTTTTGTCGGAAGGGTTGGATCAATAAGCGGACCATTTATGAAGAATTTGGTAATTAATTAATATTTTTCTCGTAATTACTATTTAATAAAAACTCGATTTTAACTATTTATATAAAGGCTGCCGATTATGGCCTAACATTGGTGATGATACTGTACGGTTGTCTCATGTGTGTCGGCTCTGTGTTGGGATTATTACTTCCCGAAACCAAAGACCGAGAAATTCCCGACACTATTGAAGAAGCAGAACGACCTTGCTATTCTGTCAAAATGAAAAATATTACAAATTAAACAACAAAATTATAATACAATGTATGTCAACTGACTTTTTTTTGTAGAACTTAACTCATACGTTGTTTTGAAGTATTTTGTCCATTAAATTACTGGATTGAATATATTCTTTAATAATTTGTGTTCATTTTTTAATATTCTATTTAGTTATTATTTGAAAATTAATTGTTACAATTATTGTTGTATAAACATTAAAATACAAATATACAAAATATTCAAGTTTATACTTTAAATTAATAACTTAAATAAAATATTGTAGAAATTTCCCGGTATTTACAATATTATATCATTTCATAATAACTTTATTTGTTAAATATTTCCAAGTAATGCTTATATAGTTTACGTTAAAGTGTATTGAGGGCTATCATACTGTTCAGCATGTTGCAATTAAATTATACATAAATTTTTAAATAAATATATATTTTACATTGAATTCTTAAAGTCAGTAAATATACTGTTATCTAAAATATTTTTGAAATACTTTATATTAATGCTATATTAGATAAGTTACAATACAGCTGTTCATTAGTTAAATAAAAATTATACATTTAACATAATTGATTAAATAAAGCTTAAATATAAATATTATGAACATAGAGAATAATATAGTACATTGGGGAGTAATATTTTAATTGCATTGAAAAAGTATATAAACAACATAAATGTTATATAAAAAATATTAACAATTTTAAATTGATGTTATTTAATACTATGTCTACTAAAACCAAGAATAACAAGAATATTCACATTTTAAAAATAAAATAGCAACTTATAAATATATTATAAATTGTGATTAAACTTGTACCGTAGTTAAAATATACCATGGTCTCGAGTAAAATGCCAGAGGTGAAACATATCGCTGACATAGTGGGCGAATGGGGTAAATGGCAACTATTATTGTTCTCGTTTTATTTTCTACTATTGGGAACCGATGCCATTAATAACATGGCCTATGCTTTTCACGCTTATAATAATGATTTTTGGTGCAGTGATGTTCCCCCAGACTATACGGTATTTATATTCATTTAATCATTAGTATTGTTTTTTAAATAAATCTGTATAACAAATTTAAGTACTTTTATTTTTTTATTGACAAACAAAATATTTTTAACCAAGATTAGCTAAAATGATATTTTAATATTTATGTATTAATAAAACAGAATAAAACAAAAGATATGAAATGCTTTAAATTCACGAATCGAAGCGAGAAATGCAATGAATGGACATATGATTGGTCTGTATTCGGAAAGACAATTAATACTGAAGTAAAATAATTATATTTACAAATTATAACTTCAATATAAGAGACAATAATAACAATTATATTATAAAACAGTTTAATTTAGTGTGCGATCGACAATATATGGCATCGTTTTCGCAAACGGCATATATGTTGGGATATGTATTCTCTGGACTTGTATTCTCACACTATTCAGACAAATACGGCCGAAGAATAATCATTTGGATTGGATTTATAATGGAAATGATTGCAATCTTATCATGTGCTTTGTCTCCCAATATATATTTCTATTCATTTTCACGCTTTTTGGTTGGAATGAGTAGTTCTGGAAAAGGAATGGCTATTTATGTAAAATGTAAGTCAAAAATTGAAACATTTATAAATAATAATAATTACAACTATTTGTTATTAGTGTTGGAGTGTTGCGGACCTAAACACAGGGGAGATGTGGTTATGTTGGGAAGCATTGGATGGGTGTTAGGTTACGCCACTATACCTGGTCTGGCGTATTGGCTACAGGACTACCGATACATGTCATACGCGTCCCTCATAGCGATTGGTTTAATGGCATTTTGGTATTACTTTATGTTTGAGTCTCCGCGTTGGCTCATCACCAATGGTCACATCGATAAAGCCGAGGCTGTGCTCCGGAGGGCACTGCAAATGAATGGCAAACCTGATGACCAATTGAAGACACAGTTGACTCAGTTGTCCGCATATTTACAACAGGTATGTGTTTATTAAGTTTTTAACAAATGGTCACTTATTTATAATTTATAACAAACATTAGAGTCAATTAAATGAGAAATCCAAACGAAACCATACGGTCATAGATTTGGTCAAAACGCCAAAACTTCGCAAAATATCGCTCATTATGTGGTATTGTTATCCAATACATGCGTTAGTATACTATGGACTGAGTTATAACATATCGGACTTTGGTGGCAATTTTTACGTAACATTCCTGTTGTCAGGATTGGTAGGATTGCCATCACACTTAATACCGGTGCCATTACTTCGTTATGTCGGTCGCAAAAAACTTTTCGCCGGTTTTATGCTATTGACGGGACTCTCGTGTTTTGCGGTCATCCCATCCGACAGGGAATGGCTGACAGTTATGTTTGCACTGATTGGCAAATTTGGTGACAATACCTCCTGGAATGTAATGTCTATTATTGCACCCGAACTCTACCCCACAGTCTTGAGGCAGACGGGAATGGGTGTGTCCTCTGTTATCGGAAGGTTGGGTGCGATTAGCGGCCCATTTATGAAGGATTTGGTAATTTTATTGATTAATATGAAAAACCTATTATTTGTTCTCATGTCTGATTTAATATTTGCATAATAGGCATCTAATTATGGTTTATCACTGGTTATGTCATTATACGGTATACTTATGTGTTTGGGTTCACTGTTGGCTCTCTTTCTGCCCGAAACCAAAGACCGGGAAATTCCCGACACTATAGCAGAAGCGGAGAATAAGGCGTTTCATACAAAACAAAATTGTTTTAAAAATCAAAACAATATTTAAATAATGAAAATATTTAAAGATTATTTATTTTAAAATTTTATATTCTTCATACATTAATTACAGTATATTTTAATGATTAACACTTATAAAACAAATTGTTAATACTTATTAAAGCTATATTATTTATAGGGATAGGACTTGCATTTTTTACATACATTGCAACATAACGTCATACATGGGATTTTACATTAAAAGCATTACTAACGGACACCGACCTATTAACAATTTTGATGTATATACAAAATTACACTTTAATATATACTTTTTCCACTAAAGTCCCACTAAAGTCCCATCCATAATTATTTATTAATATTAAATGATGACAAATGTATAATTAATTCAATTTTTAGCTATAATTCAGTTTAAGAATTGTAATTTATAAGATCATTTTAATAATAATTGCATGGTAATGCTCATTATATTTTTAAAAACTTTTATAAATCCATTTCGAATTGTAGTTAATGTATTGAATTGTTAACTGCAAGTATAGTTACAATTTGTGGCTTTTGTAACATTGACAAACTTCTTTACAGTTTTACTATAAAACGATTTACATTATTGTTTTATTAGAAAATTAAGTTAGAAACAATAATCAAGGTCATTTATTAAATTAATGCCTACAGTATTTGTTAGAAGATACTGTTTATTGACACTAATCAATTTAATCATAATATTGCAGTATACCTACATATTAAAGCCAAAGTGGCTGAAATAGAGAACGCGTCGGCGGCTAACAGGGAATTGATCGTCAAAGCCAATCAATTGTTGGAATTGTTTATTTAAAAATATTTTAATTTAAATGTAGTTTATAAATGATCAATGAATTTATTATCAGCCATCATATAGCTCATGAGGATCTGTTTGCGGCGGCTGTAGCCTACGGAGTGGACACCAATGTCGCGGATGTTAGCGGAACGTCAGAGAGCGGTACGTCAAAAGATCCATCAGACGCTGTTGTGCTCATCAAGACTAACGAAGCCGATGATCATCTCCCTGAGCTCGATCGTGTGGGCGCTTTGGGTAAGGTCAGAAGCCGAAATGCTTTGCAAATAGGTTTGGAAAAATACAGAGGAGTCGTTCCCGATATTATATCTGGAGATTTTGCGAGTCGAAGCGACGACACAGAAGACATCGCGAGTGACGACAAAGTAAAGACACGCGCGAAACGGATGGACAGAAAGCAAAGCAAAGACAAGCGTTGATGGATGTAATGACGGCTGTAGTGATGGCAATAGACAAATAAAGTATATTAATTAGATTAAGTTAGGGTAGGTTAGTTTAGATTAGTTTAGGTTTAATTAATTATAAACAGTTATTAAATTACAGATACAACATGCATTAAAATAGTTAAAACAAATTTATAATAATTAACCAAGCTAAACATAACAATTACTAGACTATAAAACATAAAAACAATATATATAACCTATAAAAACATAACAATAATGATAACATTAGTATAGATAGACGGGTTGAGTCCTGTGTTGCCGTGAAGTCAACCAGCGGTCAGGTTTTCGGCCAACAGTCGTACCGTACGGTTAAACTCTAAACCAAAACACATGCAAAATAAATGAATTATATTTTTAAAATTAATTTTAAATTATTTTATATATAATAATGTACTTAGCAGAATAACACGTTAAAATCGCAACCAATCAGTTAAATCGACCTAGATCCAATAAAACAAAACAATAATTAATTAATCATTTAAAATTAAAATTTACATTTGTATAAAATATGATGTAATGAGCAAAACAAATTATAATTTATCTAGTACAATTATACTCACCAAATCAATAGCCAGGAATTTATATCAATCCAACACAATGCAACAAGATAGTCAAATTAAAATAATTAAAATAGGTACAATTTAAATACAATTAAACGCGATATAAACTTTTGATACAATGTGTTTTGTGGTGTTGTTGTTGTTGTGACTGAGACTTGGGCTCAAATGACAGGTTAGCCCATCAATACTGTTATTATTTTTTTTAATTTGACCATGCCACATATTTAAATATACTTTTAACAAACAAATAATGTCCTTTCCCTCTTTAGGGGCTATTAATAAAATGACGTTATATACGTTTAAATAATTTATTTATGCATAAAGAAGTAATTATTGATTAATATAAAAGTGCGGAAACACTTTATTCAAACATTAATAATAGTTTTTCAATCAAAAGTATGTGATGTATTGTCCGCATCTTTCTCGCGAGTTTCAACACTAGTCTCTTCAGATGGTTGTAAAGGGTTGTACAGCTCACCAGCCATCCAATAAAATGCGACTGATGTGTCCAATTTTGGAATGCGACACATTTTCATAAACATGTATTTCGCCAAATGTGACGGGAAAAAAGCTTTTCGCCGACTTCACGGATTGACGGTCACTTTGGCACTTCGCCATGAAGCTTCGATGCCGTTGGGATGAGAGCCAGTCTCCGGATCCTTGATGAATGATTGACCTTAAGGTGTTTGAATCCCTCATCCTCAAGGCAATCATATGCTTTCCTGAATTGGTACGAGAGTTGCAGAATCGCGTTTATCTACCGGTACCATGAACACGTTTCCGGATTGCTCTTCGATTCCACCGAACACTTAAATAATAAAATGTGTTTAACACATTTCTATGAAATTATATTTCAATATTAAGCAAATACTGTACACTTACCCACTGTCCCTCAACTCTAGGGCCTCTGTGGTACTTCCGCTTTTCAAATTTCGATTCGTCAATTTCAACAGTTTTGTTCTCATCACCAATTTTTTGTTTTTTGGTGATCATTGAATCGTACACCACTTCCCGACAAAACGATGACCAATCAGCAACCGCTGTTTCACCCAATTCCAATTGCTTCATAATTACATTAAGCGGCACGTTGTCGACCCATAGATTCACAAATCCCAATATTTGAAATAATCTGAAATGAGAACCGGCAAAAAACGTGGTAACTCTCATAGATATTCTGGTGTTGCAAGAGGTCGGCTTTTGTTTGCGCTTAGAGACCTTTTCCTGACATCTCCACGCGTGACCATCGCTGGTAAATACAAATTACGTTGAATGACATTAACTTTAATGAATTTCATAGCTTTAACCTAACCTAACCTAACCTAACCTAACATAACATAACATAATAGTTACATGTCTTGTGAATATGGGACCAACCGAAGAGGACTGTCAGAATTGGGGCACTTGTAGTGCGGTTCGCCCGAAATGAGTCCCCACTCTTGAAGTTTACCGATAAAATTGTCATCTCTAGTGATGTCGAAAATTTTCACTAAATTGAGTGTTGAATCCATTTTCGCACAAAATTATACGATTTATGAGATACGGAAACACATGTAGAGTGGTCATCATGGAATACATGAAATACGTAAAATAAAAATAGCCCCTAAACAAGAGATTAGCCAAAACAATTTGTAAACGTGCTTGACCCAATGGTTATTATAGTTGTCTAATATGCATCAGGTGCTGAGTTCGAAACTTGGCAAATAAATTATTTTATTTATTTAAATCTTATTTTATTTTTTACAAATATTTAGTTTTTATTATAATATATTAATGCATAATTTAGCTAGCTACTTCATTTTAAATAGGTTATAATAATGCATAATCAGCTTAATTAAACAATGTAAAATTTTTTATAGACTAATTGCCAATCTACAGCCAATCGAAACATCGTTACGCGCACTGACGTACCGATCGTTACATCGGTTTACAAACCGAAGTACCAACTATTAGCACATTAATAATAATAATATTAACTATAATGAATCCTTGTCAATTTAAATGTTTTAAACAGATTTCTTTAAATATTATATACATTTACACCTTATTTTTAACATAATTATGACTACAAATATTAATTTTATTTAATTTTATACACATATTATACAATTCAAGTTTATTTTGTAACATTTCAATTCTATATTTACTTATTTTATATACATGTAATGCATTTTATGTGTTCTAAAGCTTTGTAGGGGTGTTATTTAAGGGTGAGGGTGTGCAGTAGAACTGCATATGTAACTATAGATAGCCTTAACTGTAGTAAACTTGCATAACTTTCTAGTGGTTGGTCAGCCCAGTGATGGACCAAAGCCTTTGGAATGTTATACTACACCCACTCCTCATTAGGTAATAAACCGCAATGTTTTCCAACTCTCTAATCTTTTTCGATCTTAACACTTATACAGTACGTAAGGGTGTACTCAAAACATACTCTAAAGCTTATGAAAACCCCTATTATGTATTAACTATTGTCATTGAGTACTCAATAAACACTTTTATTATTAAATTTGTGTGTATTAATGCCAACGAAAGTGTAATAACTAATTATTAAGCAACCTGTGGTGGTCTACCGGACACAGCGGTCACCGGAACGGGCGGAGGCCTAATATCGTTACGTCGGTTTGCGTACCGACCAACGGTTAAAGTAAGTCATAGGTAACGCTCGCTCTACAGCACTCGACTGACGCCGCGCGCGGACCGCCATAGACGACTGCACTCGGAGTGCATTAATGTTGCAATATTGTACATGAGACATTTGTGTAAAATTTCAATTTGTATCTTCTATTCAGAAAACGCCGAAACACGTCTTCACTAATTTTTACGCTTAATCTAATGGTGAAGTCGGAATATTTCTATAAATTGTTGTTTTTGCTGGGTAATTGTTGTTAATTTGGGTAAGTTTTGTCAAATTGTAGTGGTAAATAATGAACTAGATTAAAAATATTCTGATATTTTATCCGTCCCATAATTCTATATTTATCACAGAAATATTTATTGTTTTTTAAAAATAAAAGTGTGCATGTTAGCTTTACAAAATCTTGTTTAAAGTTGTTTTGCCTTATTGTATAAATATAAACTCTATGTAATATAATTAGTGTCAGTTTGTTCAGTTAATTCAATCAGTTAATCAATCAGTTAATTCAAATGTAATTTAAATCAATTTATTACAATTATTTGGAGTATGTATGATTATATCAAATCAATTTCATAAATTTTTGAGGGCCATTGAATGCACTGATTGTAATAATACACAAATGTCACTGATAAGTAAATACATCCAAACTAAATTGATAAATATACTGCAGTTATAAGTGTTGTTAGCGTTGACTCAAATATAA